GACTGGCCGTTACATAACTCTCTCATTCACCAGCCTTGAAGACTGGCCGTTACATAACTCTCTCATTCACCAGCCTTGAAGACTGGCCGTTACATAACTCTCTCATTCACCAGCCTTGAAGACTGGCTGTTACTTAATTCACTAGCGCCGAAGACTGGCTGTTACTTAAATAACTCACTCACCAGCCTTAAAGACTGGCCGTTACTTAACTCACCACTGCTGAAGACTGGACAATACTTAACTCACCAGTGCCGCAGATTGGTCGTTACTTAACTAACTACGGCCGAAGACTGGCCGTTACATAACTTTCTCATTCACCAGCCTTGAAGACTGGCTGTTACTTAATTCACCACTGCTGAAGACTGAACAATACTTAACTCACCACTGCTGAAGACTGGACAATACTTAACTCACCACTGCTGAAGACTGGACAATACTTAACTCTCCACTAATGAAGACTGGACAATACTTAACTCTCCACTGCTGAAGACTGGATAATACTTAACTCACCAGTGCCACAGATTGGCAGTTACTGAACTCACTCACCAGGGCCGAAGACTGGCCGTTACTTAACTCACTCACCAGCGTTGTAGACTGGCCGTTATATAACTCACTAGCGCCGACGACTGGCCGTTAATGAACTCACTCACCAGGGCCGAAGACTGCAGAGTCTCGTCGTACTCCGTGCCGGTGATCCAGTTCTTTACTTTGTCAGGCTTCTTCGACATAGTGATGGCCGGCATGGTGGCTGGTTCAGAGAGGCCTGGGGGACTGAGAAATGAAACTGATGCTGTTGGTATTTATTATTCCGAGACCATTAACCGGGACCCTCCCCTTTCGTTTGCTTTGCCCCAACAGCTCTATTGAACACGTCACTTGCAGTTATCCAAACTTTCTTATCTGTGGACATAGCTAACCACGTGAAAATGGTTCTTTTGTAACTTGTTTTTATGTCGTTAGAAATATTATGATCTATATTTGCATTTTCATAAAAGAAACAGAACAAGAACACTGATTGATTATTTGTTATGTTTTTATCGTATTGTGCTAGGGAAACTTAAGATACGTCGACGACCCAGTTGAAATTTAGGAGGCGGGCTTCCCCAACACTGTCCACCAGGACCAACTGGATGTGGGTGGAACATGACATTCCAGGGGTAGGACGAAGTAACCTGGCAGTGTAATATCTTCACTGAGTGGCAATCCCAATAATTGAACTCTTGCCTATTGCCATCACATGCTTTTCAAGATAAGAAAATGTCTTTTGTCCAGGCCATGAGAGAGAGAGAGAGAGAGAGAGAGAGAGAGAGAGAGAGAGAGCGAGAGAGAGAGAGAGAGAGAGAGAGTTCACTGAGTGAACTCGGGAAGAAACTGGGTTGCCTTCATTGTGAGAGATCTGGGTTCGAGCCTCAAACGGTTCTTGGATATGAGTCGAGTATTTTCAGAGGCTGCCATTGATATTTCCTTTTTTCTCCTCGTTCAGCCATTTTTTCATGAGTGTACTTTTCTCTCTCTGGTGTAGTTTTCTTGGTCTGTTTCTTTTCACATTTCCTTGATATGAATGTGGAAAAAAATGAAACATTTTCGGAGTGCCTTAGGGCAAGCCGTTTACTCTGCGAAATCTAGCCGATAATTACCGAGCGAATGGGATTGGTTCGAATCCCCAGCAGGGCGTCTAACCTTGGGTTTTTATGGGGGAACAATTAAGGTTCTCCATCCATTTGGCTCGGTCATATCGGAAATGGATGCTGAATTCTGTGGTTTTGCCCCTTAACCCTATCCGTACGTCGTATTTTACTATCGTATCCATGCGACGTGGTGAACTCTGTACCACCACTTTACAAAGAGGAAATTTACTCGCTAATTCGATCCGCACGCTTTGCACAGCAGTCTGTCAAAATGGTTTTTTGAGAAATTTAAAGTTTCAAAGAGATCTTCGTACTAGAAGTATTCTAAAATGTGAAGAATACAACCCCAGGGGTTCAAAATGACCGCAGGGTGTACGGAGAGGGTTAAATAACCTAACAGTATTAACATGGGCGTTAAATCTATATCATAAAGTCGCAAAATTTAACAATTGCCTGGTTTCCGCAATGCCTTACCGTAAGCTTTTGATTGGTATAGTAGGTGTTTTACTTACTGTAAGCTTTTGATTGGTCTAGTAGGTGTTTTACTTACTGTAAGCTTTTGATTGGTATAGTAGGTGTTTTACTTACCGTAAGCAACGAATCAACAGATTCAGGGACGCGCACTGTGCGAGTGGCCCTCGTTCGAATCCTCAGTCGACCGTTCCTGCAGCTGGATTGTCCAGGAAGCTTGCCAGATTGTCCGCCCACTAGGTCTGATCCTACTGGAGATGGACGTTAAATATTATTATAAAGCAACATTTTATATATTATAGGTTTATCTCCACTCGCAATACTATTACGTTATTTACGAGCAGGGTCTCGCCTCTGAAATAGATTCCAGCGTTCATAACAAGATCAAGTCATACAAAAATTGCATCGCTCCATACCCATTGAGCAACGACTGTAGGGTGAAAACATGATATTATTATCAATATCGCCATGCGCTGACATACGTCTGAAACAATGGAGGGTGGGAGTAATCCTTTCTAAGTAGGTCTCGGCACAAATATGACTTAATTGTGTTGCCAGTGCCATAAAACGTCAGCTAAGACAAAGATAAGTAGATCTACGTCAAAACAACTCAAAGTGAACCCCTTTCGCCCGAGTGGCTTCGTAAATCCAGGCCTCACCTTTAAATGTTGAGACTTAACCCTATCCGTACGTCGTGTTTTACTATCGTATCCATACGACGTGGGGAACTCTGTGCCACCATTTTCCAAAGAGGACATTTACTCGTATTCCGATCCGTGCGCTTTGCATAGCAGTCTGTCAAAATGATTTTTTGAGAAACACTGAAAGTTTCAAAGAGATCTGGGTACCAGAAGTATTCTAAAATGTGAAAAATACAACCCCGGGGGTATGAAATGACCCCAGGGCGTACGGATAGGGTTAAATAACTGACGCGGGTTATTTTCTCATTGACTCTTAAAGCCGGATCAACCACCGAATTATTGCCGCATGGGCAAAATAAAAGCTTTCAAAAAGTGAAGAATCGATAATCCTTGGGGCTTTGAGACTTTTCGGTCACTTGGCACAAAATGCGCCGTTGAAAATTATCTGCTCCAGACACATAATATACCAGTTCTGCGTCAGACCCGAGAAGTTAGTTGCAGTCGCTCTCCTGGCTGGGTGACCAGATGGGATATTTTGTACCGCTGGCTGTGTGACCAGATGGGATATTTTGTACCGCTGGCTGTGTGATCAGATGGGATATTCTGTACAGCTGGCTGTGTGATCAGATGGGATATTCTGTACAGCTGGCTGGGTGACCAAGTGGGATATTTTGTACCGCTGGCTGTGTGACCAGGTGTGGTATTTTGTACCGCTGGCTGTGTGACTGCAAAATATTAATTTGATCCACCCAAAAAATCAACAACAGAACCCACACAAAGCTGTAACGTGATGCGTTGGTTTAACTAAGGAGAGACGCCAAAAGACAAGAAAACCAAACCAAAACAAACAGAACTAAACAAAACGAAAAGGAAACCAACAAAGAAAGAAAGCTACAACGACGAAGACGACGATATCATCATCATCATCATCAGCAACAACATCAGCAACAACAATAACAACAAAATCTCCAGAGGCTCGGCCAGCGAACAACAGATGGTCGCTTTTAAGGACAAGCGGGATAATCCAGATTTCGGGGCATTCCTGGAATCTTGACCTACTCCAAAAGTGGGCAATGCCCTACCTGTAGGGGAAAGTTTGGTTTCATTGATATGTATATAATTTATTTGGTCATAAAGAAAACTCTCCTCGTCTTTTAAAGTAACTGAACAAGGGTCCAACAACTTTACCTTCGATTTTCTCAAAACAGCATTTTTTCGGGATAGCCCCCTTGTGCTTAAAAGCGACAAAATGTAGCCTTTGTTAAAGTAGAGCGTAGCGAGAAGCTGGGATCAAATAACACAAGCAAACACAGAAACAAGAAATGATGTAGAACAGCATTGCTGCGCCAAAAAGACAAAACCTGATCTCAGTGCTACAGAAACTGAGATTGTCAGGGCAACCTTGTGATACTGTCTTGGATCACAACCATATCTACAGAACCCGACTTCATTTATTTATTTATTTATTTTTATTTTTT